AAATTTTGTCTAACCTAGACGAAGTTAAATTGTTGGAAGAGTTGTATGGGATCCTCTCGTTTAAGAGTCTCGATGTATTGCATGGGAAATTGCCTGACGGTGTCGGTAGTTGGAAAATTTTTAGAGACAAACTTCTGAAACCGATCTATTACTGCTACTTATTTGTGGCAACTTTATACGTCTTATTAAAAACTATTGGATTTCTAATTTTTCCGATAATTTGATCACAGTTCTAAAATAGCGTAACAGTGTTTTTACTGGCAAAATCAAAGCCCGTGCCTAGCGTGAGATAATAGACAAGGAAGGAGAATTATAATTTAAACGGAATTCCAAATGAATCTCGTATCTCAAACCGATTTCTCTTCGTCAGATTTTCCGATGCCTTCGATGAAATTCTTGGTTCTCGGTGAAATTATCCCGTCGTTCTTCTTCTATTTTGTCCGTCCGTTCGTTCGTTAATAACGTTGTTAGCAAGACGAAATTGTCTCGTCATTAAAGATTCACGAGCGAGTTAAAACCGTAGCATCGAAGGCGATTAGAGCGACTCTGTATCTACAGTTTAAACTCGCGATAAGGTGCATCAATTTATGTTGATATCGACAATTTTATGCCGTTGTCCTGTACCGCCGTTCATTCACCCATACATTATTCCTCTACATTCCCATTTAATGTGGACCAACTCCATACGTATTCACAAATTATGCTCAGTCAACATACAGAGAGGCTGTATGCTGTCTGCAAATAACATCGCGTCACACTTGAATATTCAGTTCAAATACTCTTTATTCACGCTCGCGTGGCTTTGATTCACTCGAAAATTCTGTCGTTCCATGACTCGATACACATACGCGATGTATTTCGCAGCACGTCTAACAGCCACCGTCGAAGGTGTGCTAAATCGCTTGAATCGATCGAATTAATCTATTCTGCATTTATTAATACTGTCGAGACGAGCACCGGGCGCGGATTCGACCCGACTTGAGATAAACCGGTCACGTTCCTTGGCGGGGGACGATTCGTAGGTATATAGCAGTGCGCGATCGACGTTTCGCCGCCCGACTACGACCATTAATTAACATCGCGACTGGTCTGATTAACATATTATCGCGGCAAGACAGCCGTCGGTTTCGTGGGCGGGCAGGGGTAGGTAAAGCCGACTTGCTGCTTGTAAGCACGGAAGCGGTGAGATTGCGTGGTCCGGATGAGGATAGGGATGATGGTACGGGAAGGTAGAGGAAAGGAGGAAGTAGGGGACTGAATGCTGAGATTCAGCCTTTCAGAAACGAACAATAATGGCGTGGCGGTGGTGGCAGGATGGCGGTAGATGTGCCGGGAGGGACGGAGGAGGGGGTTCGAGCCAGCGTTCTGGAGAATCCCTCCAGGCACGTTCGACTATTAACCCCGTCGAGATTCGGAAACGCTCAGCGACTGAAACCACCGTCTCTACATCCAACCCCTTCTAGGACGTTTGAACGAGACTTCTACCCAGCCGCAGTGTCTCCGTAACAAGGGTGAACTCAATCCCCGAGCACGGGCACAGACACCACCCGGAGGAACGTGAATCAGTTTTCTCTGTCCGCGTCTCTGTCGCCCGTTACGTCCCGTCTATACTTTCTGACCCCGACGAGTTGGCATGATTAAAACAAAATCGTCATCGTTCGTCGTCACGGTTACGGTTGGGGCCGTTCGACGATTTACGAGCAGGGACACGGGCTGGGACACGTAGCCGGTGACGAGAAATCTCACTCGCCTTTGCCTAAAAATATCTCCTCCTCGACGGTTGATCGATAATGTTACTGCACACAGTAACGGTGATCGTATACACGATTTCCAAGATTAAAGAAGGGACGTCGCCGTGTCCCGAAGCTGCGCGTTTGAAAGTTTCATAAGTCGTCGTTCGAACGGGCGGACGAGAGAAGGAGAGAAAGCTCTTTTCAACGAGATCGATCAAGTCGTTCGTTGAAACTAGATCTGGTTTGGTGTAGAATCGTTGGAACGATTTTTCAGAGTAACAACTTACTCGGTCGTGTTTTAAATGCGAGTCTATCATTCCAGATGCATTAAACTTTATCAGATGTGTACATGCTAAATAATTACACGTCTAGATAAAAAAATTAGTCTAATGGATATGTGGTATGTTCTGTTGACGGAAGATTGGGAACATGATTTCTCAGATGGTTTATTAATGATCTCCGGGTGTCATATCGTTGTGTCATCATTCATTTTTGCGCTCACGTCCCCTAGCTGAGTTTCCTCGTGCAATTTGATAAGGGCAGAGCGTCGTAAAATGTTTTGCTATCAACAATAATGACGCGGTCTATATGCATCTTTATGATGTAGCAAATGACCATTGCACGTGTAAATTTTTTTAAGAAAAATGAAAGGCTTATATTTTACAGAATTTAGTACCTCAAAAATATTTAAAACAATTCTTTTGTATCGTAACACATGTTTTAGGAGTATAGAATTATGTTTTCGTGTACAATCTCTATCTGCGATCGATGATGATTAGAAACGTTCAAATGAACGTTTATTTTAAAGGCTATGAAATTTATGGAGCCATAAGGAAAGTAAATACTAAGATCATATTGCAGATTATATCAGATTATTGTAGATGGACGCCATTGATAATGGCTGTATTTCTAATTTAGGGTATGTATAAGCTTGTTGTTTTGTCTATGCATGCGAGCATCTATGTATGGATATTTACGTGTGTACGTGCATCTAAAGATCGAGACGTGCATCGAGAGACTGTATTTCCCACATTCCTTAAGCGAAGTTCAAAAGCTCAACTATGCTACGCTGAGGTCTCAGTAGTTCCGAGATAAATAGCTGGAATATATATAGATTTCTTTAATAACATATATAATTTACGTAGAGATTATAATTGCTAATTAGAATTTCCGATGGAAAATGATTAATCCTCTCAAACTCGGCTGTCTCGTTATCTTGAAATTTCACATTGCGTTCATTTGATATGCAAGCTGTAATTCAGACGAAAGAGAAATCAGCATGTAATTTATCCTTTTCTTTAATATGTGGCTAGGCCGTAACATTTCTAATTTTATTATTCTCTATATCCTTTCACTGTCTGCAATATCAAGTACTAAAAACTTCTCTCGAACGAGTTTCGACCATAAACACCGACAAGACCCGCCGGATTCGAAGTGACCAAAGCTCTTGTATGCTTTTCATCGGTATACACGTTGTTGACGATACGATGGCTCTCGCCTTTTGAATTTATTAGTCGTATGTGGTCAGTAACGGGCCAGGAACTCGAACACAAATGTTTCCACGTTGGGGGGGTTGAAGTTGCGCGCCGGTGCGTCGTGCGGCGACGTTTCGGAAGTTCCGTGGAACGGCATTGTGCCAGAATACATATTTCGCTTTTCCTTCAGCCCCTCCCGTTCCGCCCCATTCACTTTTCCTCGCGTTCGCGGACCTGCCGGCGTCACAATTCCACGCGCGGTCATGTATAGAGTTCGGTTAAGTTGGAATTTGCCGTACGCTCAGGCGCGTCGGTGCACCTGGTCGCGCGTAGCTGAACGAGAGCGCGAGGGACACATGGATACGTTGCTGGAGAACGCGTCGATCGGAGCGAGACGGTGCGAAAGAGCCGCGTCATGGCGAATGGGGTCGCCAGAGGGGTCGCGCAGTATGTAGACTAGTTGGTAAAGGCAAACCCGAACAATTTACCGTAATAATCCGATAACTGATAATATTGGCAATTTGCCTGTGGCTAAACGGATCTCGCGGCGTTGCGCTGCATGCGTTATCTCGATTATTGTTATTGTTCGTAAGTGATGATCGTTGAAACTAGTGCCCGTCAACGAACTGTACAGCTATTACGAGTTCACTTGGTTTTACTTCATCCAGTTTCGGTAACAGAAGAATTCGTTTTGCACGTTGCATATCCTTAGTTTGCAAAAATTGTAAACATATCGAACGTTATTAAGGGAGGAAACTTGGAACTTAAGTTTAATTCAAGATAATCGAGAGAAAGCCGCGTCGTTTGAATTCCGACGAGTCTGGACGAGAACGATCGTTCTACTAGTAGAGAATCTCGAAATCAACATTGGACGATGAAACGCCGTGTTCACTAAGTTTCCCGGAAGTGGTTACGGGACTGATTGATTTCCTACATACACTGAATTGTCGACACGGACTTTGAGCACGAGAAGCAAGGGAACGCGGAAGAGGACCGAAGGCTGTGAGAAACAAATGACGTTTAAAGATGCTAAAGACGACGAGACGAGAATAGAGTAACCAAATGGAGATTTCACGAATTAATCGTGGTCGAATTTTAATCTGCAAATGAATTTTGATAGTGCAGAGTCTGAGATAATATTAAACGTAGGGTTTACAATGTTGCGCTCCGAAATCAAAGAGTTCAAAAGGGTTTTATAAATCCATTCTGTATCAATACATACGATGGATATAATCCATTGACAAATAAAAAATAACATACTGAAATCTCTTTGACAATATCTCCTGCAGTGGTATTATACGACGTATAAATTCGTAACACCGTCGTATATTATTTCATACGCTCTCGAACGAGTACCTCATGTTAATTCCCCGATCGATTAGAACGTTCTCCATTCACGGCACATTACTCCCGGTATCGTAATTTCGCTGACTTTCGTATCGCCAAGATTCACGTGCACACCTGTACACCGCGGCAACGGGATAGGGAGACAGAGAGGAAGGTCGTCGAACGTTCGTAGGTAAAGGAAGTTAAAAAAGATACCCGAGCGACTTACGATTTTTTCTCGTTATCTATTTCACCTGCACAAGCAGCGCAGGAGTAGCGAATGTCAGGCATAAAGTAGAAGGAAGACTCTCGTCGGGCGATTCACCTGGCGCAGGCGCAGCCCTCCACCCCTCCCCGTGTCCTCTGTTTATGCCCTCTGCACCCCGAGCCACCCCCTATCGGTATGGGGAACTGAGAGAGACGGTGGGTACGTTGGACGAAGAGCAGTCGAGCCGAGTTTCGGGTTTGGGGTCGGCTGACAGTCGAACCGTGCTTCAGTCGGCCGGCGAACTCGCGTGCCGAGCCTTCGTTCCCGGTGACGTTCCTCGTCGTCGACGGCGACGACATCGCGAAACGTTAGCTCGTTCCGTGAGGCGACACGACGCGAACGACGTCGACGAGGGCGCACATCTTTTACCTCTTAGAGACCGCGATGTCGCGTTTTTCATTTGCGTTACCATCGTCGACAGAGGCTCGCCCCGTCCCCGTAAAAAGTACGGTACGTCATTCGTAAAGTCTGAAGAGGTTCTCCCAAGTGCCGGTAGACACTTAAACCGAAAGTGCACTCGTTTACGAGGATGCGTAATAGAAGAGTGACCGAAGTTCCGGACGATGAATGTCCATTTTCGTCGACGGGATTATGAAGTATTTGACCGTACCGGTTGGCACGCGAAAACTTTGTCGGTGTTCAGTGGATGGAGTGGCGTTCCCGGATAGTGTAATGTGTAGTGCGTAGAACTTAGAGAGCGAACCCTCGAAATCGTTACGACAAACTCATTAAGACACCGCCAAGTGTCGAGGAAGAAAATCCATTAACTTCTTCTGTTGTTCGCTGCTCGGCGAGGATCAATTCCCTTCATTAATAACCCGGTGAGTGCCCGGTGGCCGAAGTTCCGTGAAACTTTTTCCACGACGCGCGATCTTACGACCCATTAAAGTCCATTAAGCGTCTGCTTGTGGCACAGCCGTAAGTCGCGAGATTCGTCGCGGACATCTTACTCGCTCTCGCGTGCATCCGCGTGGAAAATCGTCATCGCCGCGTATCGTAAACACATTCGTGGAATCGATATCGTTCGTTCATACGAGACGAGAGGCGGCGACGCATCGCCGATTAGCATTAGAGGAAGGTATACGTTAGTTTGCAGAATTCGGTGAGCTTTACGAGCGAGATGGGTCGATAACGAACTCGTGTGATAGCTATCGTTCAGCCGATGGTTCGCGTCGTTCGGCAAAGATATCACGTTCGATGTCGAGAGCCTAAGGAAATCGAAAAAGGAAATCGAATAGCCCGGTACGGGCATGGTGTAATCTAACGTTAACGAGAAACGAGGACTGGTAGTATCCTGAGGAGGATCGGTGAAACGTGTTGTCGTCAGTGAAAAAAAGAAAGGACCGGTACAGTTCTCGTTTTTTGTTTTATTCAACTTCGTTCTCGGACAGTGAAGTGTCGTAAAAACGAGAGGGGAGGATTACTGAAGAGGGAGAGAGACAATGTGTGTTAATTAGAGAGCGGGAGAGGTCGGTGAGAGACGAACAGTCAACCTGACAGGTAAATATTTACCGATTCCGCGGCACGCCAAAATCGCAATTTCTGCCGGTGCATTTTTCTTTATTTTTGTCTCGCTTGTTTTTATTACTACGCTGGAACAGGAAAGTGGATACAGTCGTAAGTATCGGTAGATCGCGTCTGATCCTCCGCCACGACTACGGATTCGTCTTATTGTTAGCTGATGCACCTTGCGAGAGTTTTAGGATTCTAATATAACTTTTTATTCTTAGTAAAAAAAAAGATCGCTAGATTTTTCCTATTCTTTCATTTTATATTTTACGAGTCGTACCTTTGTGAGCTTCTTTATAATTGATTTTTCGACGTATCGTAATTATCTTTCATTCGATAGCTGTTGAATAGATGAAAGCATTTCTCTTTATTATCTTAAGAATTCTTGCTGAATTCACCATCGTGATATTTTATTACTGAACCAAGCTTATCCAATACGTTTTTTAATTTCATCGATATACGATTTATAAATTGGTTGCATGATGTTTAAAATGTACCTTGAATATTTCCTTTTGTCTGATACCGAGAATGAATAAGGGATAGGATTTAGTATGAGGATTCCATATGTTTTCCCTGTATGATACTTATATTTTACGTCCAAGCGAATTAGAATCACGGGAAATACGTGAGTAGTCGAGTTATGCATGAATAATCGATCTGTCAGGTGTCATAATTCTTGGCTACTTTGGATTCGTTTTCGTTCGTACGGTTCTCACCTACGTACCATTTGCGCGGGCCGTTAAGCAGGATAACAAGAATCGATTTAAACCTGGAAGTGTATCTTGACAAATTAACGTTTTCGTTGAAATAACTTGTCGGCCCTGCGCAATAAATCATTTGAATGCTCGGTGTGCATTTCAACACGACGCGGGTCTGATTAAAATGCGTGCCGTCAATGTTTTATACATGCCAATTTCATGCTCCGTTAATGTCGCGGATATATTTTACAGTGTACCGATTGACTGATGCCATCAAAGTCTGAATGCCAGTCACGAGCATGCGAATGAAGCTTTACGATTAGTCGCGATCAACCGTGAATATTTTCTGGGACCCGGTTTTGCACGATAAAAATCAGTCACGGTCGCTTTGGTGAAAAAATTCTGTCTATAACGTGGAAAAGTTTTATGGAGTATAATTTTCATTGTGCAATTACAGTTCGATTTTTATAATGTATATTATATATGAACAATTTAAGTATTTTCATTAATAGAAGTATAGTAGCGATGAATTTATTGAGGATAATTATGTACGCGGTTTTCTTCTGGTTTCCGATGAAAACCTTAGAATTCCGCGGGCGTATCGCACAGTAATTTCGCGAACATTACCAGTCTTAATCGCGCGAAAGTTTAGCCGGAAGCTCGATGTATCTACTCAAGCTGTGCGCGGTATCGGGGAAATCGATTGGTGCGCCGCGCCGAGCCTGTTGTAACGATGACACTCGAGATAAAATCCTGATTGGACGAGTAACTCGGATCGAAACCGTAACGAGGCTGATCGTGAATTACACGAGAGCCGTATCGTCGTGCCGATCGTGCACGGTTCTTCGGACGTCCATGACGCGATTGGTTGAACGGGACCATCGGTGAATGCGTCTCGTCAATCTTTTTTGCGTGTTTTCAAATTCGATTTATCATCGAGTACAGCAATATCAATAACGTAATCGGACGAGAAATAGGAATATTAGACGTTAAACCTCATTAACGGCTGACAAAAATGTTGTAGAAATGGTTTCAGACTTCGATATACATGTAGCATTATTGGCGTCATTATGATCGTTTGCCAAATTAACAAAGCGCTCATTAACGCGAGGCAATATTTTCCGTGTCAATATTTATCACTATCCTGCTAATATTATGTGCTATGAAATTACTGCTGTGGTTTTTAATTAATTATTACCGTTGATTAGTAAAAAAGAGTTTTTGTAATCTGAAATGAGCGAAATAGCTACGGTTTCTTTTGATGAAATTGTGTGATCGCGGTCGGAAATGATAGCCTTGCGATTAATGGTCAAGTAGAAAGGGGAATGAGTCCGTTACGGATCAGGCTCGCGGCCAGTAGTAGTATCAACGACGCGGCGGGCGTGGGTTTCTTTGCTCGACAGGCAATTAATTACGTCGTCGTGCCACTGCGGAAGTTTCGTCCTCGTTTAGCATTAGTGATGCGTCGAGGCGTCTACCCACTCCTCCATGGAGATCCGATAATCTTTTAATTCGCAAAATTGATGTTCTTTAACGTTACTGTGATCTCGAGGTAATTTTTGGTTCGTGCGTGTCTCTCAATAGAAAGAGAGATTAATGGGATTTTTGTAAATCTAATAGGATCACTTTTGAAAACTAATTTTGCGAACCTCATATCAAGTTTGTATTGGAAATTATAAAATGTTAATTAGCACATTGATGGGCGTTTTGCAAATATTAGTGACACGTAATTATGTCTGTTGATAAGTCTTTTATATATAATTACTCATTCTCATTAAATTTCGTTGTACAATGCCGTGAATAATGACGGTGACGGTTCTCGAATCGGTTTGTTCTCCATCGTATTTCATCTACTGCCTATTGTTTCTTTGTAATACAACTCAATGTGCGCCGGTTTGTACATGAAATTACGATTTACGAGTACGTTCTGCCATTTCTTACTCCACTTTTTAATTCGCCAATGTTGACTTTTCCTACTAATTACAAAAGATTGGGTCGAAAATTAAATTCTCACTGAAAGAGATTTCATAAAGCAACCATTTTGTATTGTTTCCTTTATTGTTTTTACTTTTGCACGGTTTCCACTAGTAGTAAAAAATTTCATTTCACTTAACAGCTTACGCGCTTTATGAACGGCTTAGTCGATCTTGTGTGATCTCGATTTTATTTTACAATACTTGTATTACAATATACATTTTCTGGTGACAAGTGAACTACACGTGTTACAGGTTTTTAGTTTTTTATCATAAATAAATTGTAAAGGTAATACAATCGAAACGTTGCTTAAAAATAGGACAATTAGTTACGAGTTGATTTTTAAAAGTATAATAAATATATGTAATTAAATTCTATTAAAATTGAAGTAGCTATTTTCGCTATCGCGTTCCTTATAAGATGATGTGGATTAAAAGGTTGGTTGCGCTCCGAGCTAATGTACTTCGACCTCTCGTTTCATTTGCAATATTCGACGACGTTACGTCGTCGGCCTTACTTTGTTTACGAGTCGTGAAGAACTTCTTGGCAAGTAGTGTTCTGAGGAATTATTCAGTTCGAGAAACAGAAGTCACGGTTCGCGGTACTCGTTAACAACGAGTTGTAAGTTCGGACAATTATTCAGTAGAGTAATTGGACCATCCGAAATCCGTGGGTCACGTTCTTGAACTTTGACTTGTGGACAAGAAAATAATTCCGTTGCCGTCGTTGTACTCGCGTTTTGCTCTTGCCTCAGCTTCTCAAATGAACCGCTTCGCCTGAAAGCTTCGGAAAGCCCGGCTCCAGGCCAGCGGACAGGGTCATTGATATGATAACATTGCGTATTAACACTAGAAAGACTGAAACTTAGTATATACCTATATTGCCAAAAGCAGTCAAAATGACTGCATTGTGAAAGAATAATGTGTAAAGAGATTTGTCTAAAAT